AAAAAAAATTTCGGGGGCTCTGCCCCCGAACCCCCAAGAGGGGGGCCCACCCCCTCCACCCCCGGTATTTTCGCACCTCAAAGAGTAAATTTCTGGCTACGTCCCTGACTATATGTATTTTCCTCATGCGGCTCCAAATTAATTGAGTATTGTATCTATTTAGAAGGCTGATGATCGACCGTCTAAGATTTTTAGGTAGTTTTTGTTGATATGTCATCTTAAATGTGATCAATATGATCTCTACATGAAGATGACATATGGTACTTAATTGCCACCTAGGTTGCCACTAAGCGTCCGTTTGATAGGCAAACTCATAAGAATTCGTTTTCGATAAAAATAAAGAAAATGCAGCTTGTTGTACCTTGAAATTCGATTTTCATTTTTACGTTGCAATCAAACGATCAAAATGGAATTCGTTTCTTCAGATGTGATATTTTTCATGGAAAATGTGACAATCAAACATGACCTAAATGATTAGGTGTCTGAGTAGATAGTAATTCATTAAGAAATAATTAGGTAGTATTTTAGAAAACCAAAAGGGAAAGGAAACCAATGTTCAAAATGTCCTCCAATCTTGGGTTATTTGTGTTTGATTACAGCCCATTTTGGGAGAAATTTGCATTGACACCCCTTGAAAAAATTGAAACTTCGGGTAATGACCATGTGAAGTTTGAAATTTAGGGATTGGGGGCCATTGCAAATTTACAATGGGGATTTATCCAATAATCTAGTGTAGCATGTTCAATAAGACAGATTAATTAGACCTCCTCAACTTTGGTTATTNAATAAGACAGATTAATTAGACCTCCTCAACTTTGGTTATTGGCAAAACTACCACCATAAGTTTGGACACATCTCATTTAGATCCCTTCTTTCTTAGGAATTCAGCCATTATGTCACTTAATTTAAGAGTAGGTTTCTTGTGTCCTTTTATCTTTTACTCCCAACAAATAATATGAAATAATTGACACGGCTTCTAACGAAGATATTATTGACTTGCTCTCCAATAGACTAATACAAAAATATGGTAAATAAAATCTTAGGAATTTCAAGATATGGATTCAATATATCACACATGCAACAATAACTTCTAAAAATATACGAGTAATATTTTTATAAATATTTACGAACTGCTCAACGTGATTAGATGATTTTAAAAAAGAATAATATAATCTAGCATCAGTAGTGCTATAATATTAGTTTAGATAGTAACATTTGATAGGTTCAATTAAATAAATAACGTGATAATGCATTTAAGTGAATTTATAATTTTATATCGTGCAGTTGTTAACTAAATTCATATTTGATATTCGTGGTGTTGAATAACGCTATTTTTCTAAAAGAATTTAATTATAAAAAAGTTGTAGCATTATTGCAATTATACTTTAACCAACATACATTAAGTAGGGTTGGAGGCATGCATGCCTAGAAGTAGATGAAAAGCTAAAATGCAATTGGTAGGGTTGCTGGCTATGGCTTCGCATTTTGGGCTCATAAATGATAGATTGGAGTCTTGTGTGCCAGGACTTTCCCTTCAATCCCTTTCACAATTCTCTCTCTATATATTGGACCACTAACTATGAGTACTAACCAATGGATCAATTCTTTAGGAAAGGGCAACATGGTCCTCTCATAATTGATATTTAACCATCTCGTTTAAAAGTTTAAACACTTCAAATAAAAATTAGGTGTATTCACTTTAAAACTAGATGCCAACGGGTCCCTCATTTGCGAACTTGATTTTTTTTATCAAATATGTAATGCGTACTCCCATTTTACTTTGGGTTATCTCTATGGCCCATGTCCTAGGTTGGCTGTTGAAGGTTTCCATTTTACTTTCGAAGGGTGCCCACTTAAGATCGGCCCAATTGATCGATACTCGTCACGATGGTAGAGGGGGCTTGCATCCTTCCTGCCATTGCCAAAGTCTATATCCTTGTAGTTCAAAAAATACCATCGATATTTTCTCTCGACAATGCCCGATGGCATAACTAGTCAAGTATGTAAGAAGAATGAAATTACATTAAGAGGTAGATATATTTAGAAGTAAGGTTGGTCCCGAGATTTTGAATGCTCCGTTCGAAGTCGAGAAGAAGATCCCTCTTTCATTTTATTAAAAATTCACGAAAAGAAAAAAATAAAATAGCGGGTGGGATAATAGCCTAATTTTCTTAAATGAAAAAAATTGGTATAGAGTTTTTTCACAGGTTGACTGGGAAAAGTAAAATAGATTTGTTTGACTAAGTCTGTGTTTAACACACATTCTTTCAAAATACATTATTTTATAACTCATTTTCAACCACACATTTTTCAATAAAATAATATTTTATATCACATCAATAATTTTTCATTACTTTTTAATCACATATTTTTTTGTCATATCACTATTTACAATACATTCTTTTCTCAATAATATCCATCAAGTACACCCTAATAGAACTTTTTTGAGAATCATTAATTGAAACAAAAATAAGTAATTAATTTTTGAAATAAAATTAAAATAATAAATTTTTGTTTCTCATTAATATGTCAAATTTTAAAAAATTGTCATAGTATTTATGTTGTAAAATAATGAGATAATTATTGATGATTATTTAATATTAATATTATCATAATATATAGATAAATCTTATTTAATTCAGAGAGTTTATTTCATTCCAATTGTAACTCTTATTTAAACTATATAAATATTCGTCTTGATTTTCAATAAAATACACACTTGAATTTTAATTCTTATATTTTTTTCTCTTCTTGTTCTATTATTTTTATTTCATAACAATTTATAATTTTTTATGCCTTTTTCTTTTCTCTAAATATTGTGCTTTTACCTTGAAAAACATTTTCTTCTAAAAAATTCTTTAAATTGTAAATACACACACACAAATATATATACACACACACATAGAGCCTGTTTGATGCACATTAAAATGAGAGAATGCATTTTTTTGAAGTGATGTGATGGGAAATATGTGGTTGAAAAAGAAGGAAAAGTTATTGATGTGATGAAAAATATTATTTTATTGAAAAATGTGTGGTTGAAAATGAATAGAAGAATGAGAATAAAAAAAATAATGTGGATCAAACA